AAAGAAACATAGGTAATTTGAAAACTATGTTACAAAAACAAAATAAATTTTTATTGGGAAACGATAAACATGTCTGATATTCATTTATTCACATTCTCTAGTGCATTTTTTTTTATAAATTTTAAGAAATTGTAGAATTTGCTTCAAATACAGATGTATTCTTGCATCCATTGTGATTGTGATTACTGTGATGTTCGTGATGCCCGTTTGGCATAAATTGAATAAAAATGGCTAAATATGCTACTAATGCAGATATAATCTAAAAATTGATAATGAATAATATGTAGTTTGACCAATATATTGTCCGTTTAACTTTCTATATTACCCTTTTCAAAAGCGTCCAATTGATAATTAAAATGCGGTTGGTATGAATTTCAAATTTCACCACAAACATTTGAATGGAAAATTTTCGAATCTGAAAAGTTGAATGAAAACCTTTAGACACATTTTTTTCATTTTAATTAAATAAATGTAATACTTAACCAATTTCTTTAGTGAAGAACAATTGGAGTTGCATTTTATTTTATGCAATTGCATGCTCATTATTTTTCTCTGAAAAAGAAGTCATTTTAAATCAAATTAATTTATCTAAAATGATTTAAATCAATTTTAAACATACACTCAATCGAAACGCTTCAGCCGAATAAAAAAGTGTGCAAACAATCAAAGCAGAAGGAAATATTGTGATGAATGCTTCGAATGCGTACGGACTTTTTCGAAAATGTGTAACAAAGAAAGCCCAATACAACTCGACACTGATACATATAAAATATGAAATAACTGATGCAAGTAAAGAATAACCTGCGAACAATAAAAACGATTGAAATTTGAGATGAAAATTTGATTAAAAAAATGTTACCAAAAGCATGATTCAAATCTTCCAATGAAAGCCACAGCATTTGATATGACTTCTTGCAACAGCGCAACAAATTCAATCGGTTTTTGTCGGAATTGGTTAATTCTTTTAATCGTATTGTTATCATATCTGTACGACTTCTCAACGTATCAATGAAAAATACGCAAAACAACATCTCTGATCGGCAAACAATCCACGTATAAAATGAAATCAAAATATCATTTCGCCAAACAACATCCGATCTCACTCGAATCGCAACAAATAAATCAATAGATATGGTCGTTATGAGAACAGCTACAGATTTACACAAAAATTTCTTGATCCATATTTGTTTTATGCGTGAAGATGTGTACAGTAAAAATGTGTCCATATGGCAAATTCGAATCCAAAATCGATATTTTATGTACCTTGTTCGTAGTGATTCGATAATTATTATGTATTGACTGAGTACTGGTAAAACAAATTGCATAATTATCGTAAATACTCCAACCGTATCTCTTTTAACAAAAATGCGATCGGAATAAATAATCAAAAACAATACGATTGTTGATAATACAAACAAATGGAAATAACTCCAAAAAATCAAAAATTGCGTACATTTTTTCTGGGTAAAATTGACGAGACTTGTGAGATGACTGATTCCACAAACTTGAAAATAAAACAGAATGACTTTGATTCTAATAGAATCCATTCTCTTTCTTTTAAAGATATTTTTGTGTGTACTTGATTTCGAATACAATTTGGAAGTGAAGAGATAGCAAGAGTTAACAATAGTTAGCCCAGAGCTTAAAAATATTAAATGAACTCAGAGCTAGTGATGAACGATTTTTATTAGTATGCTCACTACTACTGCTTGAGGATGAAAATGGATAATTTATTGTATAAATTAAGGGACATACACATAAGGTATTATCACAAAGGCAATCTTTTGTGTCAGAACTAATGAATCAACATCAATCAGTGAAATAATAAATCATTAACGGTCGATTTATCATTTTAATATGAATTCAAATTGGCAATAATCAATATTCTCATCGAATACATTGCAACTAACGTTAACTATCTGTGCAACTGAGATATCTGAAAAGAGGTATTGGTCAATGATGTACTCAAAATATAAGATTGTAAATACACCTATAAGCTTCAATATACCAATTTCATGAAAATTTTCGAAAAATGTTTTTGTAGGATTACAGCCGTGGGCAAAATTCGAGCACACAACCACTGTCGTACAGTGAGATGTACTTCCGAGATATGTCAATCAAAATTAAATAATGGTAAAATATTTTCCAGTAGCAAAAATGAATTCTTTCAATTAATGTAATAATAATGACGGAACTGAATATCGTAATATGCATTCAGTAAAGTTGTATGCCATCAAGCTATACAGTGTACTAAAATCCCGACGCGTTTATTTTATAGCTAACAGACAAACACATACTATACTTTTTATTAACATAAAAAATACATGCCGAGATATTTTGAACATGGTTATTTTCTTCTAAATTATGCCCAAACTATCTTACAAAGAGTTTTAGAACAGCATAATGTTTTAGTTATACAAACAGTTTTCAAACTTGCAAAAGTATCGATTCTAGTTTGCCAATGAATAAAATATCGCAAGTTCAAAGGCTTTCAAAATTCAATTACTTTTTTTAGACTATAAAAGTCGTGTAATACCAAACCACATACTACTGTGGCGGTATTCTAGCCATATAATTCCAATCGGACTTATGTGCTAGAATACCGGCACTGCATGTAAACTATGAAGAGTGCTGTGTGCGGTGTATAACAATCAATTTTGATGTATTTATTTAATAGTTTCACTTTTAGTAATACGATGGACTAATTGAAACGAGCAGGAACATCAAGGTTGTCATCCCCGAAATCAACTGTTTAAAAACAGAAGAAAAAATGTGTTTTTCAAATTAGAGAGTGTTTAATAATTTCTCTTTCTGGAAAATACTAAACAGTTTTTCCATTTAAAATACATGTTGCAGCAGTTTAGTACTTTTGAGAAAGAGTGTAGATATTGTATAGTACTAGTCGTTAAGATTATTTTTTCCATGGATCTACTTACAGGGACACATAATTTTTTATTCAAATAAAAAAAATTCATGGCGGAAAATTGGAATGGACATAAGTGTAATGTGTACGCAATTTTTCGTATCTAAAATTAAAAAAAAAGTGAAAGAGAATTCAAATTAAATTTATAATTTCTTTCACGTGTTTGTAGAACAATACCACTCGACTTAAAGCTTCGTTGGGATGTTTATTCGCAAAAATCGATTTTATAATTTCTTTCATGATTGTTCTCCAATATTCTATTTCCCGAATTAATACCACCAAAGCTAGAATTTTGGCAGCATGGGTCGCATTTGCTTCTGTGAAAAGATAATGAAAAAACAGTCCAATGGATGTTTCCGCTTAAAAAAATCCATTCGATTGATTCATTAGATAAACTTCAGTACAATGGTACATTTTGATTTTGGAGGATTAATTGTGTGCCATAGAGTCACTTAATGAATTTCCAAAAATCAAAATGTATATACAAAATCTGAATGTATTTTATCTAGTGAATTGTTTGCAGTTGTACATACGCCACATTGAAACCCAATGATTGTATCGAATGCGCATAAATATCCAATAAATGCCAATGGAAATCGAATAAGAATAAACGGCCATTGCAGCTAAAATTGTCCAATTAAAACGTTCGTTAATTTGTCGGCTTATTTTCCAAATGCGACCATAAAAAGATTTCAGTATTTTCAGTTCATTCACTGTGGCATTTGTGTTTTTTGGATATTTTATCGCAATTTGTATAGTTTTATGTATCTCTTTGTGTACGAACTGAAGACGATTTCCAACCTTTATGAAAAAAATTATATAATTTTTTCTTTCTGATGAAAACGATCTACTTTATGAAAAAGATCCAATTACCCAGTAGAGATGACATACTATGTAAATGAATTCAATACGAATCATATTCACTGTAAACTCACGAACACAGATATTTTGTCGCCATATTATGTCCTCTTTAGACAATGTAAGCAAAACTGCTATATCAATTACGAGTGGTATAATAAGAAGGAAACATGTTTTGCTAATCAAACATTTGTTGAAAGATCGTTGTCGATAAAAAGAGCAGTTATGCGGATCTCTGCATGTATGCTTCGCAAATATCTCTTTATCAAACGCCTCAATGGAATCTTTTATGATTTGGTCAATTTTTCCTTTTGAAATGTTTTCAATAATTTGAATAAATCCAACAAACAGATGTCCATACAATTGAATGAAATCTGTAAATGCTCCTACTTGAGAAGTTGGGTGGAAAAATTTATGTTTGTATGCAATTAGAATGTATGTTTCAATTGAAATGAGTATTAATTGAATCATCGACGGAGTGTACAATAAGAAATTTGAAATTCGAGAATCCTTTTGGAAATGTGGCTTTGGACACGCCAATCCAATCCACACAAAAAATTGAGAAATTGACTTGAGCTCATTTCTCGGAGACATTTTGAAAATCACTTATGCAATTGCTTTAATTTCGAAGCACAACTTTATTCTCTGGAATACAGTGGTTAACTGATTAATTTTGACAGATCTATCATGATATCGTTGAAATGTCTTCTAATTATCACAATTTTCTCGTTTTCTCTCCGATACACACCAGAGATATGTCAATCAAAATAAAAGAACCCAAGTATCAAGATATAAATCAATCGTCGACACCTGTCCAAAAAATGAGTATATTCCAGGAATGAATTTACTATTTTCAATTTAAATATAAAATTCGGTAAATTAAGGTCCAATCTCAATTTCCCGCTTGCTTACTCTTCGGGTGTAGTACACAATTTCGCCGGAATAGGTCATTGAAATATCGATATTTTTCAATATGAAAAACGATTGATTTTCCATATAAATCGGAACAAAAATGAAGTTTGCTCTATGTAAAATTTGAACTTTATCAATATCATTGTTTCATGAATTTTCCTTCATTTAAGAATATTTTATCTAACTTTAAGTAAAAATAAAAATATATTAGATGCTCAAAAGGTGTGTATATTGAACCAAGGAATCGAACATTTTATCTTGAATTGACATATATTTTAATTGAATCATATTTTTAGAATTTAATTTTGAGGGATGGTGGTTAATTATCATATGACGGACTAATGGAAACGAGAAGAAACATCAATGTTACTATACCGGAAATCATCTGTGGAAAAATAAAAAAATATAATGCAAAAACAGCAATGGTGGTTTTTTTAAATTAAAATTCATTACTCACAGGGACACATATTTTTTTACTCAAATAAAAAAAATTCATGGCGGAAAATTGAAATGGACATAAGTGTAATGTGTATGCAATCTTTCGTATCTGAAATTTAATAGAATAGTGAAAGAAAATTCAAAATAAATGTATTATTTCTATCATTTATCGGTTGAATAATACCATTCGAATTAGAGTTTCGTGCGGATGTTTTTTTACAAAAATCGATTTTACAATTTTTTTGGTCATCTTTCTCCAATATTCAATTTCTTGGATTAATACCACCAAAGCTATGAGTGCAGGTACATGAAAAGCAATTGACTCTGTGAAAAGGTAAGGAGAAACCTATGTAATGTATATAATATAATAATAATTTCCAGTTGTACCTACGCCAAATTAAAACCCAATGATTGTATCGAATGCGCATAAATACCCAATAGATTCCATTAGAAATCTTCCAACATTCAAAGGTCACTACTGTTAAAATGGTCCAATTAAAACGTTCGTTAATTTGTCGACTTATTTTCCAAATGCGACCATAAAGAGATTTCAATATTTTTAGTTCATTAACTGTGATATTTGTGTTTTGTGGATATTTTATCGCAATTTGTATAGTTGTATGTATCTCTTTGTGTACAAACTGTAGACGATTTCCTACCTTTATGAAAAAATTATATATTTTTTTCTTTCTGATGAAAACGATCTACTTTATACTTACCCAGTAGACATGACATACTATGTAAATCAATCCAATACGAATCATATTCACTGTAAACTCACGAACACAGATAATTTGACGCCATATTATGTCCACTTCAGACAATGTAAGCACGATTGCTATATCAATTACGAGTGGTATAATAAGAAGGAAACATGTTTTGCTAATCAAACATTTGTTGAAAGATCGTTGTCGATAAAAAGAGCAGTTATGCGGATCTCTGCATGTATGCTTCGCAAATATCTCTTTATCAAACGCCTCAATGGAATCGTTTATGATTTGGTCTAGTTTTCCTTTTGAAATGTTTTC